TAAATAAGTAATACTAATAATAATAATAATAATAATAATAATAATAATAATAATAATAATAATAATAATAATAATAATAATAATAATAATAATAATCGTAATAATAATAATAATCGTAATAATAATCATAATCGTAATAATAATCATAATCATAATAATAATAATAATCATAATAATAATCATAATCATAATCATAATAATAATAATAATAATTGTAATAATAATAGTAATAATTGTAATAATAATAATAATAATAATAATAATAATAATAATAATAATAATAATAATAATAATAATAAAATCGAGGCTATTTTGTTGGTCTTTTTAATCACTTATGCAGTAATTTTGTTATACTGCCCATAACAAGCTCAAAATCAAACCTTTTTCAAGGGCATTTTTGTCCATTTATTTTCCACCCTGCCCTTTATGCTTAAAAGGATAAGTCTCCCCATCCTTTAACTCCCGTGAAATACTGCTCCTTTCCTCTCTCTCTCTACTAAAAAGTTTATTGTTGAGAAATTTTTTTTTTGGGCAAAGATTTGACCCCAAATCTGTGTCAAAACTAAAGGTAGAGCCTTCTGCCACATTTTCTGTCTGATCATCTACAAAGACGCATCTCTATAATTTGTAACATATCCAAATCCGAAGGTCCAAAGAAATATGAGCACGATGAGGAACGAGAAAGGTAAGTTCCATATATTTCCTTACTTTTTTTTGGCTCTTCAACTACATTTTTTTTTGTTCTTTCTTTTCTCTACAAACATTCATTGCCATTGATCATGAACAAAAATTATAAAGTTTTTTTCTTTCAACGGATATGGTTGTTTCTTGCAAAAAATGGGCTTCTAAAACGAACACGCTGTGAGGTGCCAAAATTGCTTGTTTTCTTTCTTCAACGAACATGGTTGTATCTTGCCAAATTTAGTTCATTCTCTTCTTCAATGGGTATGACTGTTTGTTGCCAAAATTATTTCTTGGATCATGGGTTGTACATTCTAACGGATATGTAACCAGTATTTGCCCCATTCCCTTTCTATTTTTGGTTGCTATGGAGTACTACAAAACAGAGCTTGTCAACTCTATTGCATGATCAATGTATTTTCCCTTTTTTCTGAGATAATATAGAGTCTTTTTTCTCTGATGATATCATAATCTGTAATTTTTTTCCTTTTCACTACTGTTTAATCCTTCTTTCTTGTTATTATCACTCTTTTATATATTTTTTTCCCAAATCTAGAGAGAGAAAATTATCTACTTGAACCCCATATGTTGTTGTTTGTTTGCAATTTGGGTTTTTTTGTTTTCTTTTTTGGATGAGATCTGAGTTTGGAAGAATTATTGATTGAGCTGGATTCCTATCGAGGCTTCTTCAATTCACCGGTTGTTGCATATTTTTTCTTGAGCTCTATTCGTGATAGTCCATATTATCGCCCGGTGAGATCGCAACTATAAACTAGATTAAATTTTTTTCTTGGTCTGTATTTTTTATCATGATGGATCTTAAACTAGAATTGAAAATAGAAAGACTCAATGGGTTGAATTATAGTACGTGGAAAAGAAGATTAGCCTTAAACTTAGAGTATGGAAATTTAGATAATATTATTTCAATTATAGTTCCTACTGAGCCCACTGATGTTAGTAATAGGGCAAGAAGATCAGCTTATGCTAATTGGGAAAAAGAAAATAAGAGGTGTAAGAACATAATTTAGAAATATGGATGATGAATTATTATTGAGTTTTGATGAATTTAAAAATACCAAAGATATTTATGATGAATTGGCGATACAAGTTGGGGTGACTTCTATGAGTAATTCAAGAGTATTGACTCAATAGTACTATTCTTTTAAGATGAAAGAAAATGACTTTGTGGTTGAATATGTTAGGAAAATGATTTTACTGGGCAAAGAGCTTAAAACTTTTAACTATACTGAATAGTTTGCCTACTTATTGGGAATCTGTTGTGACTACTTTATCTCTAAACCACAAGAATCTTAC